TGATTTCTCCACAGGTTTTGATGCCCTACGACCCAGCAGTGCTTCTGATCCTAGCTACAGATGCGAGCAAGGTCGGACTTGGAGCTGTCCTATCGCACCAGCTCGATGATGGGACCGAGCGACCGATTGCATATGCTGCACGCACCATGACCACAACGGAGCAAAAGTACCCCCAAATCGACAAGGAGGCCTTAGCCATCGTTTGGGCGGTCAAAAAATTTTTTAGATATCTATATGCAAGGCATTTTTTTCTCATTACTGATCACAAACCACTGACTCAGATTTTGCATCCAGAGAAATCTCTTCCAGTGTTGTGCATCAGCAGGATGGCAAATTACGCTGATTATCTGGCTCACTTTAATTATACGGTTGAGTTCAAACCAACAAAGTCGAATGCCAACGCTGATTTTTGTTCAAGATTGCCTCTAGTTGCAACGGAACATCACGTAAACTCAATCTCTGCTGAAGAGGTGGAAGAAATGGTGGAACTCGACGAATTTGACCAGTTAATAGTAAACCAGCTTTCCCCACTTCCAGTGAGGGCTGAGCTAATTGCAAAGGAGACTAAAAAGGATAAGCACCTAGGAAAGATAGCACAGCTGCTAACGAGTGGTCAGGACCTTGGTCGCCACGGCTACAAGATGCCAGAGAGCAACTACACTTTCTCAGCCGATTGCCTGCTACTGGAACACAGAGTAGTTGTTCCACCTACTCTTCGCCAAACTATCCTGGAAGACTTACATGCAGCCCACATTGGAATGGTGAAAATGAAGGGCTTGGCCAGGTCATTCGTTTACTGGCCTGGCATTGACGCTGAAATCGAGGGAATCGCTAAGGCGTGTACCGTATGAGCTGGATGTGCACATGCTCCAGCTAAATTCCGAGAGCACCACTGGGAATATCTAAAAGGTCCATGAGAACGCATACACATTGACTATGCTGGGCCTGTTGCTGATAAGATGCTGCTGATCATCGTGGACGCCTACAGCAAGTGGATGGAGGTTAAGGTAACCAGCTCGACTACGACCACAGCAACCACAGCAATCCTCGATGAACTGTTTGCAGCCTACGGGGCTCCAGTCACTGTCGTATCAGATAATGGACGACAATTTGTATCTGAAGAATTTCAGCAATTCTTACGCCAAAGTGGAGTCAAACATCACAAGCTGTCAGCACCGTATCACCCAGCCACCAATGGCCAAGCGGAGAGGTACGCCCAGACAGTCAAGGATTCTCTATAGAAAATGGGAACTACAACAGGCTCTCTTCAACGCAACCTGAATGAGTTTTTGAGGCAGTACAGGAAGGCTCCACACTTTACTACAGGACAGCCTCCTGCTCAACTTTTCTTAAACCGAGTGCCTCGAACTCGACTGGATCTAGTCAGACCAGACTCAACTAAAACTCGCATTACCAAGAAACAGCAAGCAACTTTCAACTCAGCTTTTAGAGTGTTAAAGGAAGGACAATCAGTCTATTTCATCTCGGGTAACGCTCGCTTAAACAAGTGGATCCCAGGAGTTATCGTCAAAAGACTTGGTGATCTGCACTACGAAATTCAAGGCAATGAAAGAATTCACAAACGCCACGTGGACCAGATCCGAGCACATCATGAGAAGCTTGGGATTCCAGAGGAAAGAGCAGAAGAGTCGTTAACCAGTCCAGTAGCAACAGACAAGGACAAACACCGTACACGTTACTACGAACAGTCAGCTGCTCTGCTTTAACAGGACAACCAGCAGCCGCCCCCAGAGGTCCAGATACCTGCAACACCACCAAGAACTCCACCACAAAGGACATTGCCACGAAGAACTCCAACTCCCGAGAATGACTGTGCACCAGTACGCCGATCAGAGAGGAACCGGAGACCACCGCAGCGTTATACTCCCTAGTATATTTAAATCTTAAAAAAAAATTTATAAAATGAAAAAGGAGGGAGGAAATGTTGTGTATTATGTTTGTTCTACTTATATTTTATATATATTCCGTGAGGTAGCACGTTCACTACTATTTGCTTTTTCGAGATTACCTAGCCTTACGTTAGTTCTACTGAGAGATTCAAGCCGGGTACTACACGGCACTCAGTACGTTTACTCTCTCAGTTGCTACTCTTCCTAATCCACTTTTAACTCTTTGTACAATGTAAATGATAAAGGACCTAAACTTAATTCTACAAGTGTGTTTGCCTAATTTATTTCCCCAAACATAATGATAATTATATTGATGATTAGTATTTAATTAATGTTGAATAAATTTATCAAAAATAAACGATGTATATATATATGTGCTTCATGCCAGATACCGACTCGTGACCCATTAAATTAAATGAATACAACAATAAATAAAATCTTGTTATTTTGGGCTTATCTATGCGTGTAAATTATGGAAATCAAAAAAAAAACGTCACAACAGTTGATCATAAAAAGTTTGCGATAGCAACATAAATATATTTTTAGAGTTATTTGGTATCGTAAATATAAAACGTTATGATTTTTGTTTACAAAATCACAAAATACAGTCCAATAAATGGTCAATAACTAAGGAGTTTCAATAAGAGCATAGCTAACACTAGTACACACTAAACACAAGTAGCATACCTCGCAAATTTATTAAGAAATCCACTGAAATTCTTTTTTGATGTGAAAACAGTTTATACGAGGTTTAAACTTTCCACTTAGGCAGTAAAAATTTTCAAAGCGTAACGCTTTTTCTGTCACGCCTACATAGATATACTAATACCGTTCTCTCTCTCTCTATCTCTACTGAAGAGCGCTGAACTTATGCTGGTGTCAGCCAAAATATATAGATATACTAAATCATTTTCGTCTAAAAGCAGCTAAGCATACATGCGCACGCACATACACGTACACATGCTGTGCATCTCTGCTGGCCAGGGCATGCTGCGCACGAACAAATTTTGAGAAAAAGCTACACTCGCATGTTAGCATGTTAGCATGATGGTAACTGTGACAGCTAGGGTATAATCCTGAAGTGAGTAAAAAAAATACCTGCCGCAATTTTTACGAAAGTTGGGAAACATCCTAATTCGTATATATCCAGAATATTTTGAGATCTTTACTTTTGATCACGAGTTATATTGTAATATTAAAAGAGCAATTTGGTCCAAATGACATAACTGCCGCAACCAAGTCTAATAGATAAAAAATAAAAAGTTGTCGGACAGAAATGCCATTTGTGGCAGGATTGGGACTTTTCTGATACTCGACAATAGCCCCCCAAAAATATGAACTCACCCTGCAAAAAAAGGAATTAATGCCAAAAATTTATTAAACGCAGTCGAACGTGTCGACACTTATGCATAACATGTCAGTCGTACCTTGAGTATGTTTTCACATCTTCCGAGAGTCACCCGCTACACTAACGACTGGTTTTTTAATACCTAGTTTTACAATAAAAGTTAAGGAATACTTGAGAAGACATTGAATCACATGTTTTCTAGATTTAACGGTCTCTCGTAAGAGCCTACGTTACACTTTTATGACATGGTTTAAAATTTTGATAAATGACTTGTTTGATAATTAAATGATTTCAAATATAATTGATACTTAACCTATTGACCCCTTAAAATTCAACTTATATTTAAGGCATTTATTTTTTATAATAAGCTATCTGAAAGTTCCAGTTATCAAAAAAGTGTTTCTCATGCGTAGGTACAACAAGATCTGGCCTCTTATTTTGTGGATCTTAAAACCATTTACATAAAAAAATATTTGCACTGTTGAGAGAGCTTTAATAGTTTAGTACTTAACTTCTAGTTTAAGAAAGTAGAGAGAGAGAGAGTCGGTTAAAAGTTTACTAAAATATAAAGATTTTTCTTGAGCATTTTTAATAGGATGAGTACGTAAAATGACAAAAAACCTATTTATTTAATTCATTGGATGATCAGTGAATTTTTAAATGATGTCTGAACCTTTAAAGGATTCATCAGTTTTAAAAAGGTAGGTAAGTTAAGTTAGATTGGAAATGTAAGAGATCCTTTGATTGAGGTGACTTATACATAAGTCTAAGGCTAATGTGACTGTTGTAAATTAATGATTTAAAATAAACATAAAAATGCACATTATTGACGTAAAAAAAATTATTTCGTATGTTTATTACACGGAAATAAACATACTCATGTAGAAAAATTATTTTTTTTAAACTTGTTAGTGGTAGTTTAAGTAGCATTCCATGTATTAGTAAAAGCAGCTTCTTGAACTATTTTATCTACACTTGTATACGTTTACAATAAAATATTACCTTTTAACTATCTCGAATGTTGGGCAGTAGTATATTTTATTTATTTTCACCGTATAATAAAGTCTTTTAAAATCTTTAACGAAAAATATTGAGCTAAACAGAGATACATCATAGGCCTTCTATCTGTTACCTTTAAGAGAAATCCATATATCCCTACATGGCAATACAAAGTAAGTTAGTATTCTGACGTAATGGAGCTCTGAATGATATCCACCGCAACAGTAGCTACTATGTTCGTTCTGAACTGGAGTTGTCGCTTTAACCATCCAAAGTACTTGTGATTATAATAAATTTTTTAATGTATATTTGATGTTTGTAAGAATGCAAAATACGTCTGTTAAGAAGCCTACCACAGGTTGTCCATCAATGTTTTCAAGCACGATAATCCAATTTTACGTTAATAGAAAATACAGGTGTGAAAAATCAGAACACAATTCATTTTAAAATTTTAATGAATTACACGTATCAAAAATTAAAAACACACTCTCTGGTAACAAAAAATAATTTCAGTATCAAAATAAAAGTAAAGATGATTGTCTTGACACACAACCTTTAATTAATAGGAGCTAAATTATATTTTGCAATCATCACACTTTTTTTTAACACTTATTATTTAAAAAATAATATTTTTAGGTTAAAATGCTAAAATTAATAAAAAAAAACTTATTTAAGATCTGAGAAAAATTAATTTAAAAAAAATCTACATAGAAAAATTATAGTAAACAATCGAGAAGTATTACCTGAAAATCGAAAGTTTCATCACAATTAAATACTAAAACAAATCTGCCTAGTTGATGTCCTAAAGCTTTGACAGACTCAGTTTTACCAGTGCCAGCTGGCCCAAAAGGTGAACCACCTAATCGAGATTCTAATGCCTGTGTCATTGTTAAATAACATCTATCAGTTAATGGTGTTTGAACAAGTCTGTCTTGAACACCCAAATATTCGAAACCATAAAAAAATTTTGCATTGGCCATGTGAATGGTTAGTTGTTGAAGAACATCAGTTTGTCGAGGATCAAAGTAAAACCTCATTTCACATAACCACTCAAAAGCTTTGGTATTATTAACGTTATTATATATTAATCTTCTAGTTACGGTGCGTTTATGAACAAATTCGTTGATTAAATGTTCAAGTTTTTTTCTTCTTAAAGGTGGCTGCTCTTGAAGGACAGAATCTGCTAAAATATTAAGAGTATTCTCAACTTGACTAAGTACTTGATCCAATGGGTTCAATTTAGTGTTATCTTGAGCTTCCTGCAGTGCATTTTCTACATCTTCAGACCAAAGTGTTTGAGCAGCTAAAATAATTATTTGAGCCGGATATTTATCGCACCATTTCATTAATGTTTGAGAAGTAATGTTTGTTTCTTTAAAATTTTTAATATCTTGTATAGCACTAGCAAGGCTAGATGCAAGCGTAACACACATTTCTTTTTCTACAAGAGTTAACCATTCATTAATTTTAGGATGGCAAACAGTTGACACTGAATTGTTAAAAATAATTTCTTCTCCTTCTCTAGAAGCAATCCCGATAATAACAGTATTATCGTTATTTAATAAAATTGATGCAACACCAGCAAACATTTTTTTAAAATGCTTTTGAAGTCTGGCAACGTTTTTGCTATTGCCAATTATTTCCAGCAAATCTTCATCGCCAACAAAATAAAATCTGGGAAATGAAGTTCTTTCTCTTTCTAAGTATTCTCCTAAAGCCTTCTGTATTTTTCCTAAAAGATCTGCGAGTCGTTCAAGAGACCTTTGCACCCCGGGTATGTTTAATATATCCACTACCATGGGAGATTTTGATACTTTTTTCATTAATCCAAGAAACTCAGAACTGATACTCTGAAATCGTGATGTTTCTACAGGTAATAGTGTTTTTATGTCAGCACTTCCAGAAAAAATACCTTCCAAGTATACCCACCTTCGTTGTACATCTATCCAAATATCAAAAAGAGAATTTATTCGATTTAGTTTCTCTTCCCAAGTTAAAGCTTCTTCTTCAAATACTTTGTAGTAAGGGGATAACTTCATTGCAGCGACAGAATTAATGTGCTCTTTGACTTTATTGAACAAGTCGTCCCAACCACGAATCAAACGACACTTGTTTTGATAATTTATTAAATCCAATTCATAATTTTGCCATGATTCCCGAACTTGTTTTAAAAATTCCTCTAAAGCCATTTCACCTTGAGCTACGAGAATAATGTCTTTAACAGTACTTTCATTTTTTTGTAAGTTAACATCCCACACTTGACCTAAAGTAAGTTCACTAAGAATCCAGTTTACTTTTAATTGTTTCATCAATAACTTCCAGTGTCTTTCTTTTAAAGCATCAGATTTAAGTTCAACAATAAGCATATTGACTTTGGTGTAATTTTGAAGCATTTTTTTTACATACTCGTACGAAGAATATTGCCTCAACCTCGCAGGTAAATCTTTTAGTTGTGATAACATAGTGTCTAACTGTAGTCTGAGTTTTCTTGGTTGAACTGACAGCCATGGTTTTTCACGAGTTTCATCAATCTGTGTCCAAATTTTAGATAATTCAGACCAAACTCCTTTCAAATCTTGGAGTTCTTCAAAAACAACTTGCATCCGATCTTCATTTACTGAAGTCATTCCTGGTTCTAAGAGTTCTAAGGCTTCCTTAGCCTTGGCTACATTATCTCTTTCTTCCTTTAGTCGAGCAAACTTATTTTCGAATAACTGTAGTTGCTGTAGTGCATCATCTGGTCTTAAATAACCTTCAACGGGTTTTCCTTTTTCCCAATCATTTAAAAAGTCAAGCGTTCTAGTTTCAATTGCTTTGTCTTCAGTGACAATTTTTAACTGAAGAGATGCAACTTGTGTCTGTATGTACGTATCTTTCCGTTTAATGATTTCATTAAAAGCTCCCCATTCGCCTTCTATGTTATCGACGTGTAACCAGTGTGAGGGGAATTGAAATCTTTGGCGTTCAAGAATTCTTTGGCCGTCTCTGTATACATCCACTTGTTTTTCCCATGCTTTCATTTTTCTTTTTAACGACTGTACATAAGTTATAAAACTAACTGCATCAGATGTACTTGACGCTTCAATAGAGTGTAATTCTAGATCACTCCTCGATCTTGATACTTGGACGTGAAAACTAGCCATTTCGTTTCCAAGCAGAGTTCCAAACTTTCCTAATGTTTCTTTGTGCCAAGAATCATATTTCAGCGAAACTTTGCTTTGGACTTTAGCAAAATCAATTATAACAGGTCCAAACTCTCTTCTCGTGTCAGAAGTATCAAACGTAGTGCGAGTTTTCTTAATGTCATTCAAACATTTCATCCATAGAGTTATGTCTTCATTTAATTTTCCGTAAAGGTTATCTGGCTGTAAATCCCACAATGACTGATACCTTAACCACTGATCTACGTAATTTACTATTTCTTGCATTTTTATTTCTATAGCGTCATAAGCTAATTCAAGAGAACATTTTCCTGAAGGTAATTTAGTGAGTAAATTTCTATAGGTGCTTGACTCTTGTTTATCAATACCAACATGATATCTTGAACTTTGTAGACGAGTCTGTAAAATAAAAAATACTTTTTAAATAATTTTTTTATAATAGGTGAACTACAAAGTATCAAACAAATGGTCTTCATTAAAAGATAAATCTATAAGGCAAAACAAAATAGTCAATTATTCGATAAGTGTTGATACCATTAGAGAAGAAACTTTATTTTCAATGAATAACATAAACGTACTTAAACTCAGTGTGTCTCAAAAAAAAAGCTTGATAAAATATACAATGTATGGTTACATCAAATAATGTTCTGAAATTCACATTCTACAAAAATCAATGTTCAGCATGTTTGCATGATAACTAAGGACTAACTTATGGTAGGTGAAATATCAAGAAGAAAGTAATAAGCATAAAATATTCAACAATGTATTGAACTGTTAGTTTAATCTAGCTATATAAGATTTTAAAATTTAGCTTCAATATTTAGATATTTTCAAAAAAATTTTTATTTCAACAGTTATTAGAACCTCTCATGGAGTGTCAAGAAATAGGTAGAGACTTTTTATTAGAAACTCTTATCATTCTGAGTAAGAACGTCATTAGATGTTGTTTAACCATATGTCATTTTAATGAAATGGCCTTTTTAATATTAAAACCCCTTGTTGAAATATAGGATCAAAGAGATTCAAACAATTTTTAAAAAGTCGTTTATTTGATTATTCTACAATAGTTTCAAAGTAAGAAAATCGATTTTAAAGATGTACAATAATTTAAAACATCTTCAGATAAAATTATCACCTTTTGCTTAATGTTTTAACTTTTTTCGCTATAATATACATATGTGACGTACAGTATGTAGAGTACAGTATTATACTTTACAAGTTCGCGCCAAAGACTCACCTCTCGCGGCGCATGAGCAGCGGACACAAAGTATGACGAACACCTTTTAGCGGCAGGCCCGAGCTTTATCAGCTCTTACGCCCGCTCTCTCCGATAAGCCTCCGAACCTAACACCTCGCACGCGACTGCTCTCGCTTTAATCCACGAATAAATGGATATGTAACTTTCTTTTACGTGTATTCTATCCTCTTACACCCCTAAGCTCCACTATTCCCACGTAACACATATATGCAGATATATGTATACATACATAAATATAATATTTTTCCTTTCGTAAATAAACGAATCAAGGTAAATTACTATAATCTATAATGACAAAATTTTTAAAAGATATTAAAACTCAGCATTAAAACGAAATGTGTTCAAATTTAAAATATTTACCAAAATGCTGCATAAACATGTAATCTCTAGGTCTTTACAATATTTAAATTTCTAAAGACAAGTTTTTACACATTCAAAGCCATTTGCCAGTGCATGTTACAATAATATCTTATAAAAATGTACAAATCATACTTACAATTAAAAAAAAAAAATTGTGCTTCATGCTGCTTTACATGATTTCATTTTTTTATTGCTACAATACATATAAAGAAATTAAAATTGGTGAGAAAACATTTATTGTAATTGAAAATAGTACAAGTTGTATTATTATGAGTCTTACATTTTACGAATACAAATTTTTTTCAAACAAATAGTTTAAATCTCCAGGTTTTTTTTGCTGTGAGTTTTCAAAATGATAAACCGTATAATGCAATAAAAATAGTGGTAGCAGCGTTGGCTCAATGGTAAAAGTGCTTGTTACTGATACAACGCTGTTCTAGGGGTTGTGGATTCGATTCCCGGTGAATGCAGATTTTTTCAAAAACTGTTTTTATCGGGAAAAGCTTCTATCTAACCCCAGCTGTTTTGGGGCAGCTTTTTCCGTGGAATTTTCCTTTAGAGTAATTCCAGGGTTTTATCCTTGCCCCACAGGTCTTCGGGCCTGGGTGAATGCGAAATAGTGTTGAGAAGTAGGGATAGGCGGATCCGATGGGCCAGGCAGGGATCGCCAGCCTTACCGGTGAGGAGTTGTCCCTGAAACATGGGGCTTTTCCAAGGATGCTAATTAGCCTAGATCCGATGCGTCGGCAGAGAGCGCCAGCTTAACCAGCGAGGAATAGACGTTCTAAAATATGGATTCCTCCGGGTAAGAGCTGCACAGTGGCAAATGGACCCAATGCACCGTCGGTGCAGAGAGCGTCAGCTTAACTGGCAAGATATTCCAACAGAGATACTCGCACTGTGCCCATGGTTTAGGTATAAGATCAGTAAAAGAGTTGGAAAATGGGTGCGGCAATACACCCCCACACATAGGTGGTGAGTGGGTGGCCTCGGCCACTTGGCCTAAGAGCTGTCGTAGTAACCTGGTAAAAAAAAAAAAGAAAAAAATAAATAAATAAAGTCAAACAGTTAATATATTACCATTAAGAACACAACTATTTAACAAAAAATTCAACAATAACATGGGGTTAGGTAGTGGAAAGTGGGGTAGTTAGCATGAGTTAAAAACGACTGTATTATACAGAAAGTTCGAAATTCACCTAATTTTAAGGGAAAAGAGGGTACTGGTCAAGGCAGGACGGCTATTGAATTTTTTTTCAGTTTTATTAAAATAACGATAGTGTATTAAGTAGTAAAGCCAATGATGACGAATACTTTTATTCAAGCGATTTGTGATAAAAAAAAAAAAAAAAAAATTAGTGTCGCAAAAAATTAGAATATAATCAAGTTAAGTAAGGATTAAAGAATTTTCAATTCATTTGAAAACTCTATTAGGGAGAAAAACAGATAAATTAGATAAATAAAAATAATGGATATTCTTAATATCATGCAATAAAAGTTATTTATGTATTGAAGTTTGAATTTTTACTTTACTAAATAAGTTTGACGCGATTCGCGCTCTTTAATTGTTTTGTTATACAATTCAATTAACATTTACAAATATTTTTCTGTGATGTTACTAACTAAAATATATAACCGAAAAAAATAACTTTTCTGCATGTACTATCATGTCAAAAGTCAGAAAAATTAATTTTCTTGATATTTATTACTCGGACTCTTTCTTTAACTAATGATTGTATCAACAATTTTTTAATTCTAGATACCATAACAAATACTACAAGATCTTAGCTTTGTAATGTAAAATATTAACTCTTGATATGACAAAATTAAGAGTACAAACAAATCAAGTAGTATCTAACTTTAGATAACTGTAAGAACGCATACTAATTTTAGATTTTAATTATTACTTTGATTTAACGAAGTTGATATTTAAAATAATTTTTCTCAATGACTTATTTGATCTATTTAAATCCAAAAACATAAATTATCGAGTTATTTTATATTATAAGGTTCTCCTTTTTTAAAATATTGGCTTCTTAAACAATTATAAATACTTACCTTTAAATTTACCCACGCTCCGTAAGCCTCGTATAATTACAGAACGACTAAAAAGGCTTCAGTCACAAGACTTTCAATCATTTAAGGTAAAATTAGTGTGGGTGACAAATGACGTTTCCGGTGCGTGAGCATTTGGTTCAATAACTTTAGTGTAATTAAATTAGTTTTTTGACCTCTAAAAATCTTACTTGCTTAAAAAAAATAGGGTAGTAGGTTCAATGGTTGCTTACGAATTGACACACAATTTAACATCTACGAATGTCAGCTAAGGCCTCAAAAAAATGCCACAAATGGCCAAAACAAGTTTTACAGAAAGCTAATGAATATCACATACAAAGGTTTAATTAAAATACGAAAAAAATAGGCCATGTTGTGTCCAAAGCAGTTCAACCAATTGTTCGCAAATTGTAAATAACTATTTTGAGCTATTTTTCAAAACTAAATCACTTGCGATCTGTACAATATTAAGAGCCAAAAATTTGGATTCAAGGTAGACAAGGACACAATACAGCCCTTAATATAAATAGAAAATTCAAGCCTAATCAGTTTCAAACTTTTTGGGAAACACAGCAATACACAAAAAAATGTCTTCTCCAAAAATAGCAATAAAAATGTTGTTAACCAACAGACAAAATTTTTTTGAATTACAATTTTTTTACTCTACAACTATAAAAAAACGCTAATTGCTTAAATTAACTAGAAGTATATTAAAAATTGATTGCAAAAAAAGCACCTTTTTATTTTGAACGTGCTCACTGATAACTTATGGTGTATGCATGCGGGAAGAGGGCGTGGACATTAGCGGTAGCTTGCCGAGCCGTCGATTCTACTGACAAGAGAGCAAAAAGCCGTTTTTTTCCATCGATCTTTAAGATACCAATAATATGTAGAAACTAACGACGTTTGTGGTAGATGTAAGTATGGACGAAAAGAAATACGTTTGAAAAATATTTTATGTTGGCTGATAACGTTAATGTACCAGTTTTTTGTGAACGTGAGAGTTTCGAAAAGATAGTGAAATACGGTAGACTTTTGTAATTTGTGAAAAAACAGATGAACCCATTTCGGGATATCGATATGATTCTTAGCTACTTCTATCACTCTTATGTACTATCATTTAAATATGTGCAGTTTATGGTTTTTCGTATGTATTTATATGTGATAAAATCAAAACATGTGTTAATGAAAACGTTAAATGGCTGAACAAGAATACAACCTTTAAGTATCGCTTTATGAAGAAAGCTCATTATTATTAGCTATTTTACAGAGTTCTATAAATTCCAGTTGCCAATTAAACTTGACTTTTGCCTCAAATCAAAATATGAGAAAGAAAAAGAGAGCGAGACAGAGAGAAAAAGAGAGAGAGAGAGATATATAAAGTTAAACTCAGGTTTATCATAGTTCAGTAGGATCCGGTAGGTGGTGTCTAAATAAAATCAAAGCCACTCTCAATCGAAGTAAGTGGGTTTGTTTGTAATATACTCCAGCGAATTATTAATTACCATAGTCTATCACAGACAGTCCATCAAGAATAGAACTGTTAGCCGTGCTGATGGATGTCCCATCCACCGATGACACTCTTCTCTAAAGTACAAGCGACTTACATCAAATACCACTATGAATCGCCAAGATTAATGAGTGCCACAAAAAAGAGGCGTTCTTAACGCCAACGCATCAGGCGTTACACCAGAAAACATTCAGCCAGAGCAAAATTTGCACTAAT